CAAATATTTGCAATATTGGGTCCAAACGGTACGGGAAAGACTACACTAATCCGGGCCATATTGGGTGGCATTAAACTGAAAAGTGGTTCAATTCATGTGTTTGGTGTGAAACCCGGTGCCGATGGGTCGGGTATTCCGGGTGCGGGCGTGGGATATATGCCTCAAGAGTTGGCACTCTTTGACGAGTTTACTATCGAAGAGATTCTCATTTATTACGGAATTATATATCATATGAATCGTCAGGAAATTGATAAAAGAATCGCGAATTTGAGAGAAATATTGAATTTACCGGAAAAGTCACGGATTATCAGTCGGTTAAGCGGTGGTCAACAGCGCCGGGTGTCGATCGCCATAACTATGATTCACAGACCGAGACTTATTATACTGGATGAACCCACTGTGGGGGTCGACTCACTGCTCAGACATAAGATTTGGCAGTATTTGGAAAACTTGTGCCAAACAAATGGTATTTTAAGAGAATATAAATAGTTATAATTAATATTTTGTATAAATTTTAGGCCAAACAGTGATAATAACGACTCATTATATAGAGGAGGCCCGGAGTGCGGCTCAGGTGGCGTTCATGAACTCCGGCACTATATTGAAACAGTCGGCGCCCAATCAACTCATGTTGGAATACCAGTGCTCAACACTCGAGGAGGTGTTTCTAAAGTTGTGTCAGGAACATAAACACAATTATCAAAATAATAATTTATCGGATATACAAAATAGTTGTCAAGATATGTGCAAAATAAATGTGAATTCAATGAACAATTGCTTAACAAATACTGTAATCAGTGTTAACACGGGTGTAGTAGATGTCAGACGTGTTAAAGCAATGCTAATGAAGTACTTGATATTTATAAAACGCCAGCCCTTATTCATTTTGGCATATTACATAATTAGTATTATGAGTCTGATAGGATACAACTTAATTATTGGTGGTGAACTAAATAATATGCCAGTTGCTTTATATAATAACGATGAACAACCTCAACAACTGTCCCGGATGTTCATCGACTCTATTGATGGCCAACGTATTAAATTCAATGAATACCAGGACCTCGAGAGTGCCGTCAATTCCGTACGCAATGGACGTAATTATTTGGCGCTTGAATTCAGACAA